GAGGGGAGGTTTTTGTTGATTTTTTTTTTAAAAGTTTAGGGGAGGTATTTGTTAAAATGAAACTAAAGGGGAGGTTTTTATTATTGTCAGAAACTTGAGGGGAGATTTCTGTATTTTACCCTAAGTATTTAAATAACTAAATATTTTAAATAACAAAATATTTAACATAACTAGATTTTAAATAATTAAAATAAAGAAATTATGTAATAAATTTAAAAATTCTGAAAAGTAGAAAAATAATTATAACATAATATTGAAATTAGTAATAATTTAATATTTTTACATAATATTGTAAATAACTAATTTCACTTATATCAAGTAATAATTAGAGAAAATAACTTTAAAAAAAATTAATATTTATTAATAATACTTTTAAATTCTTAATCTTTATTTATTATATAATTATATACACTAACATTAATATTTATTTTGCTTCAGTAATTATTTATTATTCATTGAAAATTTTAAATTTAATTTATTGTATTTTTATTATAACTTATTGATTAATATTTATTAGAGATTAAACTATTATTTGAGATTATACTATTTATTGACTAAGTTAATACATTTTTAGTACTTATTGTATTTTTTTCATTATCAATTTATTTTCAATAATTATTGGATATTAAACTATTGTTATTTATTAGAGATGAGAATATTTATTTAGCTGAAATTATGAATGTTCATAAGTTAGTTCAGTTCGGTCGCAGGCTATTTGGCCAACCAAGTTGACCTGGTGAGGTTGGGGAATTGGTCAATTGAAACCGACTAACCTTTTCTGAAAACCAACCCACTCAAGTTGTATTGATTTGAGTCGAATTTTTGCTTTGGCCAATCGGTTCAAAAGATTTGAACTTAAAATTTAAATTTAATTTTAAAATTTAGAATGCGATTATTACAAAATAAATTTAAAAATTATATTTATGATATAAAACATTTTAAACTAAGAAATATGGGAAATTTCCCACTTTTCCATATTAAAAATTATATTTAAAATATAAAATATTAATATATATCCATGGTTAGCTCATTTGGTTTTAGTCGATTTACAAATGACCAAAGTGAAACTGATCCAACTTGGTCAAATTAGAAAATTTTTGAACCAAAGCCAAACTAAAATACTAGAAAACCAACCAACTTGAGTTGAGTTGATTGGGTTGGTCAGTTTCATCAGTTTGATGAATAAACATAACTGAAATTAATTATTGTTAGTTTTGTATTATAAAAAATTTATTAAAAGTAAAATATGAATAATTATTAATTATTTAAAATTTTGAAAATATAAAACAAGTGTATACTTTTATGTGTTTCTATTAGGGTCATTTACTAGAATACACCTTATAGTTTTCATTTTACTAAAACATCCCATATATTTTTCAACTTATTTACTTAATCAACCTTTCATAAATGAGTGTTTGTTTTGCCATTAGGCACATGATTTTTTATTCCAAAAATACTCTTAACACTTTTTTTGTACATAAAACAAAATTGATCAAATATAGCCAATAGAGTAGTCTATGTCTTATTAAGGGCAAAAATGGTAATTTTGTTATTATTTTCTTTTGATTAAATTTATTTAAATGAGAATTATGGTCAACATTATCATTTCCACTATCATCTAATGGAAAATTGATTAAATCCATTGTAAATTATAAGTGGTGTTTTAGTAAAATGCTAACTTTAGGGTAGATTTTAGTAAATCTATGAAACTATAAAGGGTATTTTAGTAAATGACCATTTCTATTATCTCTAATCTAGTAGAGAGTTTCTCTCCTAAATTATCTTTAATTCCTATTTATCATCTCCCCTACTTTTTATCTATATCTATCTAAAGAAAGTTTGGATTAAAATATTTAAGAATTATTTAAATATTCTAATAAAATTATATAATACCTTTAAAATATTTATTAAAAACACAAAAAATAATTTTTTTTAAATATATCATGAAATTATGTACTAACAATTTAAATTATGTTTTTCTGGATTATCAATTTCAATGTTTTTCAAATATTTAATAATATGTAATAGCTTTAAATAAATAAATATCAAATAACAAAAACTTTTAAATATTTTATAGATTATTTAAATATTTATCATAACTAGATTTTAAATAGTTAAAATAATGGAATTATGTAATAAATTAAGAAAAAATTTACATGTAGAAAAATAATTATAACATAATATTGAAATTAATAATAATTTATTATTTTTACATAATATTGTAAATAACTAATTTCACTCATATCAAGTAACAATTCGAGAAAATAACTTTCAAAAAATTAATATTTATTAATAATAATTTTAAAATCTTAATCTATATCTATTATATAATTATATATACTAAAATTATATTTATTGTTTTTTATGATAAATTTGTTTTCAATTATTATGTATAAATTTATTGTATTTTTATTATAACTTATTGATTAATTAATATTTATTAGAGATTAAACTATTATTTGAGAATATACTATTTATTGACTAAGTTAATATATTTTTATTACTTATTTTATTTTTGTAATTATTGTAATTATTATATTTTCGCTATAAATTTTCAATAATTATTAGAGATTAAACTAATGTTATTTATCGGAGATAAGACTATTAATATAGCTAAAAAAATGAGTGTTCATGAGTTGGTTCGGTCTGGTCCTAGGTTATTTGGCCAACCAAATTGACCTACTCAAGTTGGGGAGTTGCTTAACTGAAACCGACTAACCTTTTATGAAAATTGACCCACTCTAGTTGTAATGGTTTGGGTCGGTTTTCACAAAGATCAGTCATTTCAAAGTATAACTTAAAATTAAAATTTAATTTTAAAAATTGCAATGCAATTATGAAAAAATAAATTTAAAAATTAGATTTATGAAATAAAACATTGACAAAGAAATATAGAAAATTTCTCACTTTTTCATATTTAAAATATAAAATATTAATATATATCCATGGTTAGGTCGTTTGATTTTGGTTGGTTTAAAAATGGTCAAAGTGAAACTGATCCAACTTGGTCAAATTGAGAAATTTTTAAACCAAATCCAACCTAATATACTAGAAAACCGACCAACTCGAGTCAAGTTGATTGGGTTGGTCGGTTTCATCAATTTTATGAATAAACCTAACTGAAATTAATTATTGTTATTTTTGTATTCTGAAAAATTTGTTAAAAATAGTATATAAAATATTAATAATTATTAATTATTTAAAAAATTTGAAAATACAAAACAATTGTATACTCTTATGTGTTTCTATTAGGGTCATTTACTATAACACACCTTATAGTCTTACATATTTACTTCAACCTATCTTATAGTTTTCATTTTACTAAAACATCCTATATATTTTACAACTTGTTTACTTAATCAATCTTTCATTAAGGAGAGATTGTTTTGCCATTAGGCCTGTGATTTTTTATTTCAAAAATACCCTTAACACTTTTTTTGTACATAAAACAAAATTGACCAAATATAGCCAATAGAGTGGTTGGTCGTGTCTTATTAAGGACAAAAATAGTATTTTTATTTTCTTTTAATTAAATTTATTTAAATGAGCATTAAGGTCAACACTATCATTTTCCACTGCCATCTAATGGAAGATTGATTAAATCCATTGCAAATTATAAGTGTTATTTTAGTAAAATGCTAACTATAGAATAAATTTTAGTAAATCCATGAAACCATAAGGGGTAATTTAGTAAATGACCCTTTCTATTATTTAGCTTTCACTTAATAAATCCCGTGCATCGCACGGGTTCCCGCTAGTATATATATAAAATAAGATTATTGCGGTTAAATCTGAATCTGATCCGAAATCCAACATGATAATTGAATGCAAATCTAAAGGTTTCATAATTGAATGCAGATGTGAATGCAGCAACTAGATCCAATCTGAATCAGATCAGCAGATCTAGAAGTTTCATAATTGAATGCAGATGCAAATGCAGAAATTAGATCTAATCTGAATCAGATCAGTTTACACCCCTAGGTGAAAGTGGTTCACCTAATTACGTAGTTAGCCTAAGCAATAGAATTTTACAAAGAAGAAAAAACTAATTTCTCCATTATATGTAAAGAATGCCTTAAGCCCTCATAATTTAATGATAGAAACAGCGCTGAGGAATGACAAATCAGGATTCATGTAACCAACATCCTATACATCATATAATTGGGAAAACTCTTAATACTGATTATGATAATAATAATAATAATAATATAAATTTAAAAATTAACGATTATTTATCTATCTTTTGAGAAATGCAATTATTCATCATTATCCATAATCTAAGCTTTATCTCAATTATATGGGTCATCTAAGGAATTATTATATTAATTTATGTCTTAAGACAAATCAAATCAAAAGACCATAGCATTTCATTCTACCCACTCCCACTCCCTTTTATATGTGGTAATAAGTTAATAACACTCACTACCTACCCTGTTCCAGGAAAGGGCCGAGAGTCATAATGTACATTGTTTCTTTTCTTTTTCTGAACAATTTCAAGCTTGACATCATACAAGTGGACTCAGCAAAAAACAAACATCTTAACTTACTTAGTACCTTGTGTTCTTTGAGTTTCCTTTTTCACCTTAAGGAAGTGGGTAGGGCATACCCTGTCTTGGATCAATAGGGCAACCCCTAATGCATGGTCAAAAAGTACTCTGAATACAACAAAAGTACATTCTTGTAATACTGCTTTGCCATTCTTTCTTTTCCATCTTTTACCAGAAAAGTTTCCCCATTGAGCAGTTCATAGAATCCCCAGTGGTTCACCTAAGAAGGATGTCGTGAGGTGTCCGTAATACAAAATACAAATCAACCCTTTTTTTGGAAGGATGGAATCGAATTAAACTGGGGTATTAGAAAGAAAAGTAAATCCCTTCTCCCAACTCCCAAGCACAACCAGAAGAAATCAAGAAAATGCAAAAGAAAGCATATTAATGTACTTACAAGAGGCTTTTTTTTTATGAAAAAAGAATGTTCCAGAGAAAGGAGTGAACGACCAATTTGATTGTAATCAAAGAATATGCATTCATATATTTATTTTATGATAGAAAAGTGGCAAACTCAAATTACAGAAGTACAAAACCACCTTGATTAACAAGAGATCAACTTTCCCAAAAAAAAATAAATAAAATATACTCCAAAAAAGAACATTATCCATCACAGAAAGTCAGAACCAAAAGGTAAGACACCCTGCAAATCCTAAGCAAGTTCGAGCTGACTATCGACAACAGAAGTATCCCTCACACATCACAATCCTGAAATTCTTTATTCAGTCAGCTCCCTTGTCCATTATTTCTATGGAGGATATCTTGAACATGTTAAAATCACAACCCATGACTTAAAACATCCTATAACTAAAAAACATCTCAAACTTGTGACCAAAATCCCCTTACTCGATAACAACTTTCATAACTCATATGCACTGTCCTGTCCACCTTAGGTCTTCATCATTCTTTGCACCTGCATCAAAGAAAACAATAGGCATCTTAAAGAAAATAATACTCTGTGAAGAAAAGCTATCACAATTGCTCAAGACTGGGACAAGTAGATTTAAATTGCAGGATGAACAGTGAATTAACTAAAGCAATAGATTTGTTTTTGCCCAATTGTGGTTACAACATGTCGACATGTCTAAGGCATAATTAGAGAAGTATGGAAAAGGCCAACCTCAGTTTGGGTTTAAGTTGGGTCAACCGTGTCTATGGCAGATTGCATGTGTCTGCTCTTACACAGAGAATTGACCATTAGAATCCCTGCAATTGCCTAGTGAGTAACAACCACAGCCTTGTCAACATCCCAATCTAACTTCAAAACACATCCAGGATGTGCCAACAAAGAAACAACTCTCTAGAGTTCCATAAGCCAATAGCCAGCGTACAGGACCATCATACCCCAGTCTGTACCCATCTCACTTGTAGGTTTCCCATTATATGTTCCCTCCGTGCAAGACAACATATACAAGTCCTGTCCATGCTCATTCAATTATACCCAGACATGACCTAAAGGTTGACCACACAAAACTAACCAACTTCCAAGCCCCCAAACAATTAAAAGGGCTTAATAGAAGAAATTTAAGAGAGTGATCCATGTTTCCTATAAGATAATAGCAGCTCCTTTACTTGCAAAGTACAGTACAATAATAGCAACCAAACAAGATTATCCCTTAATTTCTCCTTCCACAGCATATGATCCTTCAATGAATCAACCCTATAAAGAGGCACAAACCTGAGCACCAAGGCCAAAGGAAAGCCAATTAAATTAGGCTCAAATCAATAGTCACAGTAAGGTTCAAAATATCACAACATATCGGTGAATATTGTATGATGAGTATTGATCTTTGAACCCCAATATACCATTTAAGAGTTTTTTTTTTTTTTTTTGGGGGGGGGGGGAGGAATTGAAATGTCATGCCTCACCTAATCCTGAATCAAAACATAAAATTGCATTTCACATGTATCAATACTCTGAACCTTGAGTCATAGTCAGAAAGTTCATGCTAATGCCCAACTACACAGAAAGTTCATGCCTAAACCACACATGCTCCTCTAGACAACCTAAGCGTTGCCTCCACTGCACCTAGAGATGATCCAAAAGAAGCCTCAAGCCTTGGTTACAAGGTTAGTTTTGCACATACCTCCATTTGTTTTTTTTTTTTTTGAGAAAAGGTAACAGAGTTTTGCACATACCTCCATTCTAATTCAAAGTATATTGAGCTTTTTGCTTCCGGAGGAAACATTTATATGAGAATCATACTGACTTTTGAGGATGCCTCAGGCTTTTCCAAGGGATAAGACTAGATCTGAATTCCTCTTGTAGGGAAAAATGAATTGTGACAGGAAAGAACATAATATTGCCCCTGAAAATTTAAAAAAAGAAAAAGAAAACCCTTCCTTGGACCCTCCAGTTGTTCTTATGAACCACAATCAATAAATGACTGAATCACAAGAGCATCCTGTCAGAAAAATAGTAAGCTTAGAACCTTGAACCTTCTCGATGGTAATCTTGGTGACTTGGTGTAAAATCAATGAACTCTTTTCCAGAACAGAACCTATTTTATTGCAAAAAAGAAAGAGGTGCTCAATCATGTAGATGAGCAGAAGGTAGAATACATCACCAAACCCCACAAATCAAATTTTTTTCACAGATATGCAAATAAACACAATCCATCTACAATAACAATACCATCTACAACAGCAATACAATAAACAAAACACTAAACCACACAAAACAATATTTTTTCACAGACATGTAAATGGTACAAGGAACCAGCTGGAGAAATCTCTTTTCTAACAGGAAAAAAGAAACATTTTTGCTATAATCTTGCTCACCTATGATCATCTATTCGAACCCGTCAGAACATCAAATAGGCCACAGCAAGACTTCCATGAAGTTGGCTGTACCGCCGGTGGAGCTGACCGTTCCACTTGCTGCTGGTTGAAAAGAAAGGAAAAAAAATATTCACTAGTAGATCAATGTAAACGATCTGATATTTTGAACTAAAATCAGAATTGACATTCATAATTCTAATTCACAGACCTGGGTTTCTGAGCTTTCAGGAATCTGAGGCTGAACATGATGTTCATCAGAAACCACGGCTTTACTAGTTTCAACAGGTGGAGCATCTATTGATGGCAAAACATTACCCTCATTTTCCTTCGACGCCAAATCAATCACACCCGAAACCCCACTAGTCTCATCCGAGGAAGGCAACGGCTGCTCCTCCTTTTCCTTGGGAACAACTACCTCTGTAGTCTCAGTATTGTCCACCGACTCCGAGGCGGCTTCCAAAATTTGACTCACCCCTTCAGACAAAGCAACAACCGGCTCAACTGATTCAACAGGAGGCAGAGTCTCCCCACCCTCACCCTTCTCCTCTACTAATATCTCCGATTCCGTCACCGAGGAATTCTTCTCGACCACGCGAGGTTTTTGAGACTCATCATCAGAGCTAGTACTGGAACTACCAGCATCCCCAGATGAACCACCATCACGGGAATCCTTCGCATACTCCACATGTTCGATGACAACATCGGTTCCCTCAGAATTCTCATCGGGTTTCAATTCCCTGACAACCTCCAGGACCTCCACTGCTTCTACCTTGTGCTTATTCTCTCCTTCCCCAGTGCTACCATTTATGGATTCTTCCATCGCTTTAGTGTCGGCAGCAACAGACCCAAGTGCGGAATAATCCTTATTCTCCTCCTCCTCTTCTTCTTCTAACGCATGATGGTGATCCTCTGAAGTAGGGGAACTCGCATAACCACTATCACTTTCTTTCTCATCATGGGTTTTCAGATCATCGTTTCCTAACAAAGGATGCGTAACAGATTGGGACGAAAGGAATACTAATTAAGACGAAATATTTAACTGACAGACACCCAATTGAGCAATAGAAAGAAGAAACAAAAATAATTAAAAAAAGAAAACTAAACAAGTGGGTGATGATGAAGAGGATGAGATAAGGCTAGTAGTTGTGTAAGCAAGTACCTTGAGAGTTAGTTGGAGACTGGATGTTGGCTACCTGCTCCTTTTTCTTTGCTGCTTTTCTCTTCTTTGCGCCTGAAGGCATGATACTCGATTGGCTCCTCTGTGGGTTTATGTAGTTGAATGAGCGAGGCGCTGATGGTGGTGGGATTGATTTTCCCTTGCCAATCTGTAATCGGGTCCCTGAAGACCTACCTCCCTGTCTCTCACTATCTCTTTATTTCTCTATTTCTTTATTTCTGTTACTTTTGTAAGCAAAAATGGTATATAGGCTTAGGTGGGATTTTTATATGTGAGAGAGGAAGGACAGAGTGGCAGGTGCGTCTTCTTGGTTTTTGAAATTTTATGGAAGGGTCGGTCGGTTGGTTTGAAACTCTGAAGTGAGTGCTGTAAATTCTGGGGTCTCTAGGGATTGGGAATGGAAGGGCGGAAGAAGTTTTTGCCAAAACTGCTGAAATGAGTTAGGACTTGGGAGTGGGAAAGCCGCATGCAAAGCGCGTGGTGGTGGAGCTCGCCAGGCCACTTAGTCATTACAATCCGTAACTCCTTTCTCTCTCCTTGACCTGTCTGAGTGACGGGGTGAGTATCTATCCTCTCTCTCTCTCACTCTCCCCCATATTTGTCCTGTCTTAGTTATATATAGTTTATAGAATTGCTTCACCAACAACCCATTAAGATCTAAGCTTCTAGATTGATCAAGGATTCAAGGTTTTGATGTTTTGCGTTTTGGAGGGACTGAGATTTTAGGGCAATTAAATGCAAACAAAAGTAGAAGCTCTGGTTGTTAGCAATAGGCACAGCATTTGGAGGGTTAGAGAAGTGGGGCAGTGTAAATTAATGGGACAAATGACAATTGGGGTTTCATGGGGACTTGACGTTGAAAGGAAAATGAAATGGAGGAGAACAGGTGTAACAATAAAAACAAATGGGTAGCCAAGAAAATAACGAGTGGAAGTGGAAGGCTTTGGAATACTTTGGATTTTGATTCCAAGGAAGAATAAAAAAAAAAGAGTCAAGGAAGAATAAAATAGAGATAGGGTTTGGAGTTTATGTGAAGCGTGAAGTGGATTTCTCCCATAGGTCCATCCTGATCAAGATATGATTCTAAAATAGTAAAATCTAAATAAACGATTAATTGTAATTCATTGTTTAATATAATGATTTTTCATTGTTCCATGAGGATTTCTATGCCTTATTAAATATTAAAATATATTATTAATGATAAATATTGGTGTATGCATATAACACTATATATATATATTTTTTTTTGTTGAAAAGGTCTACCCCATATAGCTATTAATTACATAGATCCATTTATCAAATGCCTACTTTTGATTTTTAAAGCTGTGTAGAAGACTCCTATTCCATAGCCTGGTTAACCAATAATGGTAGCTCATATTGTATATGTAATGCTTACAAAATAATATGGGAAATTTAGATAAATCTGGATTGGAATTCGAAGTACACATTATTTTAGAAATTGTGGCTAATTAAGGTTTCCTAAAAAAAAAAGGAAATTGTGGCTAAATTGGTACCCCAAAGGGGTTCATGTCTTAAATATTTATTTTCTACCTAGCATGTTTCAAACAAATCATCTTATATATACTACTTCAATAAAAAAAGGAAATTGTGGCTAAGTTGGTACTCCAAAGGCTTTTTAATAATAAAAAAAAAGGTCTATCATAGAAATGCTTATGGTTCTACTTTAAACAAACTCTTTTTGTTTGTTATAAAGAATATTTAATATTAGAGATGTGCATTCTTCTCTACAAGTTTTCCATATTTTTCTGTAATTATTTTGTATGTTTGTCTATTTATAAAATATATTGTTTAATATAATATTACAAGTTGTTCCATTTGATCCAAACGTTTGTACCACTAATCAGCCACTTGGATGGAAAATAATTTCATTTTTAAGTCATTTTTTTTAAATTGGTTTTTATATTATTACAATTATATAGTACTAACTTAATTAATGGAATTAATGGTGAGAAAGATTGGGGATTGATATTTAATAGCTTAAAAATAAAAGTTATTGAGCTGAGGGACTATTTCCTTTATAAGGAGGGACCAAATTCAGAAATAAAGGTATTTTAGTTAAGGAAAAGTCCATTCCCACTTTTTATGGTAATACAGATATAGATTATTCAATCATTTTAATTACATAAACAAGTTTTTTGTAATGAATGATGAACATCTAGAATCATTTAGATGTAGAAATTACATTGAATTCTTCAAATATCTTCACAACCTTTCTTGTCATGTCTGTATTACAATTTACAAAACAGACCAAAAACTAATGATAAATCTCATTATTTCATTAATATTCATAAATTTTTATATTTCAAATACAAAAATATTACAAAGATAAAGAACCATGCATTAAAAGTCAGATGAAAATACAATAAGAAAGAACATTATAATTCAAGATAATTACATAAAATTGAAAATGGTGTTTCATTTTTTTCTGCCAACAAAACATGTGCCAACCCTCTACCACCTCAATCTAACACCGTACATCTCACCATGAGACTGGGTCCCACCAAAGTGAGACCCGCCGCCATATATGAGATGTGCGGTGTAAAATCATGTTGGTAGTGGATTGGAACATGTTTTATTTACAGTTGATCCGGGTTCTGTTCATTCAATACATTTACACCCTTTTGTCTCAAAATATATAGAAATTTGTGCATTCCTTTCTCTAATTAAATACATTTTCTGATGGGTTCTTTCTAGCTGTAATATATTGATAATAATTGTCGTTATTTTTCAAGGATTCCACATTTTCCTGTGACCACTTTGGAGTCTCCTTGTAGACAAATGCTATTAAGTTGTAGAATAATTACTCCCCTAGCTGCCATTGCTTCAACTATCTCAATGCTTGTCACTCAATTTGTCTTGTCTAAAATTCTAGATTTCCTTTGATTCTTTTGTTCATTCTTTGGTTTGCATCCTTCGCGTCCCTCACCATATAGGGTAGCAATTGGACAGGTTTGAATGGATTGGGTTTGGATTGAGTTTCAACCTAATTCATCTGATCCATCAATCCATTAATGATCAGTTTAAATGAATTGAGTTCAACCCAAACCCACTTTGACCTAATTCAACCCATTAACCTTCTAATAACTTCGCATGAAAAGATGCTCAAAGTAAAAGACGAATCACTTGAGGCACGTTTTAAGCATGGCCTAATGGTAAGTCTTTACAACAACTAAAAAGTGTTGTCTTACGGATGAGGGTTCTAGGTTCAAATCGCATCACAAGTACATGCTTTTTACATGGAAATTTTAAAGAACAATTAATGTGGCTTGTTGCTTGTATACGGTCAAACTGTGTGGACCTGGACCGGATCAGGCCAAACCACCTGATTGGGTTTGGGGTTGTTTTGGGTCTGGACCGGACCAACCCATCCCAAATCAAATTGAACCAAGCCAAGTGACTAGGTTTGGGGTTGCTTTGAATTAAGCACGGTTGGACCATTTGGGCCTAGATTGGACCGGGCCATCTAAAACCCAACAGACCATCATGCAAACCACGGTGACTCAAGTCGGCCTTGGGTTCAAGTTAATACAAGTAGATTATGTTGGATTGAACTAGAATGATCCCTATATATTTATTGGTTGAACCTGTCCAAATCAAATCAGACCACCTACTCATTTTGATTAGATTTGAGTGAATTCAAGTTGGGTATGGCTGAACCTGAACATCTCAATTCTACCCAGTTCTAAATTGGACTACCATATTGGGCCACCGAACCATTTAATGGGATTTAAATTAATTTGGATTATGGGTGAACCACATTGACCCAAACTGGAACAAACCACCATTTGACTGAGTTGAGTTCAGGTTAGTAACCTGAATTTGTGCCAACCCAACTCAACCTGAATGAGCAACTAGTTAAACAAATCATATTTGTATTATTAACGGTTAACCTATTGGATATTCACAACCTCACCCAATCCAATCCATTTAAATTGAGCCAATGGGTGATTCAATCCATTTCCAACCCACTAAGTAAATGGGCGGGTTATAAAGTGGGTGGATTTGTCAGGTTCAATGGGTTGGGCATAAAATTGCCACCCCTAACCATACACCAAATTAATTTAACTTTTCTTAGATATTTTGGTGACTTCCTTCTTTATGATCTTATTTTCTTATTATTTGTCCAATTGTGGTCTCTATAAATTGTTTTTGTTTCATAGACTCCAATTACTGAACTAATGCTCATGAGTCCCCTCCACTGCTCTTAGTAGATTTTGTGTTTATCCACTAAAATTATATAATTTTTTGCTTCTAAAATATATAAAGTCAAGGTTCAAAATATCAATACACATGCAGAAGGGGTCTATTGGTTTGAACCATGTACAACCCCTTTCTTTTAGTTTTTTTTTCTTTTTTTTTTAAATAATTAGGGGTAGGTCTTAGGCTGTCTACCCCCTAAAATAGGTCAAAGCTTCATAGGTCAAAACTTCATTATTTCATGTATCAGTGACCCACCAATATGATAAATAGCGGTTGATAAATGAGGAAAATTTGAATCTTGCATAGAGCTTCTACGTCTTTCTCTACATGCATGTCTTTTGCATTTACAAATTATAATATTTCTTAAGTCACAACCAAATTATTTCTGAAATAGGTCTTAGGTTTTATACTAAAAACAAACGTCTTAGGTCATAATTAGGTGTCATAAAATTAAGACTTATAAAACATTACTGTGAACAACATAAATATTATATTATATACCAAAAATGACTCATGAGAAGTAATTTGTTGTAAGTTAAAGGGGTTAGAATATCTGAGGAATATACCAAAAAGTATATGAGTCAAAGTACTAAGAAATGATTTAAGGCTTAAGCACAAGTACTTTAACAATGGATATGACTTTGAATAGAATGGAATCACATAGCTGACCCCATATAGTTGGGATAAGACTTCAATGGTGACTATAATGATGAAGACAGAAATATTAGTTTGCTTTGGGTCAAAGTTTTTAGTTTTTACTGGTTCATTTCTCATAATGAGCGTGGACCTTATAAAGAATAACTCACAATGTATTAATTGCTTTCAAATGCTGCAGAAAGAGTTTAAAGCATGTCAACCAAATCATTTAAATGAAGCTCCCTAAGGTTGTGATTGGTTTGAAAGAAAATAAGAGAGAAACAGAACCTCTCAACTTTCTATTTCTCTTTTAATTTCTATCAAACCATACATAGCCTAAATGACCAAGGTATCTCCCAACCCTTTAAACTATAGCAAATTTTGGAGCAAATGAAAATGCCACACATGTTTACAAGAAGCTTCCTTTTTTGTGTGTAACTTTTATATTAAGACTGTAAAACAGCCAATATAAGGTAGGGTATAGGTATAGGGATGATGTGAACTGAACGGTTGAATATGTGACTAATCCAGAGATTCCACTACTACATAGACATTTTGGATTGGACTTACCATCCACCCATTTATCACAAACTAGTAAGCGTGCACGTGATTTGCACATGACAATTATAGATGATGATAATGATAGTAATAACATATCCAAAATTTTCTATAGACGATATGTATTTTTTTTTATCTTTTTGTAGATTTTTTGTTTTGTATTATTAACTGGATGCAGATTGCAAAATCTAACTCTGATTACATAAACACCTCGTTCAAATATATAATAATAGGATTGCATTGTGAAGTTTTAAGTATCATTTCTAGACTCTTATTTTTTGTAAAGTTTTATCATTTTTGTGTATATTTTTTATTCATTTATCAAAAAAATGTAAGATTTAAATAGAAATAATTGAATGAAGTGAAAAGTAGTAATTCAATTTACAATTTAAAACTCACAATTAAATAGGGACTAAATTCAAAAATGAGTGTTTTAGTCAAAAGAAAGTTTCACAATTTTGTTCATATTTTTAGTAGTAGTGTAAATATAGAATTATAGATGTTGAATTATTTACTTATGACATTAAAGGTTAAAACATTTAACCAGAAGTTGAATTATTTACTATTTAATTTTTATATTTCATATTGACCCAATTTAAATTCTGTATTTTATTTTCATTATCAATAGAAATAATTCTTGTTTATGATACTTATTTTTTTAATTTGATTAATAAAAATATCATAAATGTGTCTAATTTTTCTACATTTTTGTAATTTTTTATATTTTTTTCTAGTTTAAAAAAATTATTAACTAACTATCACTTCATAGGTTGATCAATTTGATTCAGATGGTTAAATCGATTAGCCACTACTTGGATAAAGAATGGTTTGTTTTTTGGTCAATTTTAAAATATATGGGCTTATATTGTTAAAAACATTGACATATAACTAATTAGTATAAATTATTAGTGAAAAATAACTTAAATATAGGATTTAATAAAAAAGTGGATTTAAATTTTCAACCCTTATAATTAAAGATGAACTAAATACATAAATATTGACATTTTAGTAGCCATTAAAGCTATAATATAATGACTTTTATACCCTTTCTCAAATAAAAAAAATAGAGGGTAATTTTAGTCCAAAAAGAGTTTTACATTGCATCTACACTTTTATATATAGTATAGATAGGATGTGTCGGATAGAAAATAGAAATAACGAATTAGAGGAATCTTTATAGTCAATTCAGACAGTTCATCATATTGGGGAATGGGGACCCTTTGGATGGTCACTATCATTTACATGAGATCATTGTAATACATTTTGTTGATAAGTGCTTTTATTATTGATGTTAAATAATATCTATCTATACTATATAAAGTATAGTACTTGTATGCTTTTATTCATAATGTTCCCAATGCATAGTTGCAAGGGTTGTAAAGTGGGTGTGAGGACCAATTTTGTAAGGAGGAAATATAATTTGATATCATATATGGTTAGTACTTACTTGCACATGTGCATAGCATGCACATGCACTCTTACACCTGGTTTAGGGTAAATTATAAATTGTCACCGTACTTGGGGGGTAGACAGGTAGTGATACACCGACACTCAGCCCCCAAACTATAATTTGGGGCAAATACCCAGCTTGAATTAGTAGATACCAGCACTTTGCCCTTACCATTAGCATTTCATCAATTAACGTCAGAAAGATTCCTTTTGACTATCATGTGCAATTTTAAACATTTCTAAAACCCTAAACTGCCCTTTTGTCATTTTATGAGACTGTCTTGTAGAAAATTGATAAAAGTACATCAAAAATGAAGAAAAAAAGAGGAAAAACACAATGAAATACATAAAATAGAAAATACAAAAAAGAAAAAAAAAGGAAAAATAGAAAATAGAGAAAACACTAAAAATGAAAAAAAAAACTAAAAATACAACAAAAGATATTTTGCTTTAGCATCCCTATTTATTTTCTTCTCCTAACCCACTGAACTTCAAATAGGCCTTTTAGGTGATTTCACCTTTACCATCGGTACTAGTACTGCTCATGGGCCAGGCCTAGGTTCAAATTTTGACAAAATTTGAAGGGACCCAAACCGAAGTAGTGTAAAAACGAATCTGATGGGCTGCCAATGAACAAGTCTAATCAAGACTGTTAATGAGGTAGGCAATAAAGAATTGGAATCTAAAAGTTTTGGGTGGGTCTTTCTTACAAATCAAAGTTTAGAGGTAGAGGTGTAAATCGGGTCATGTTGGGCCGACATGGCATGGCCTGCTTGTGGCCCGTGCAAAGAGCGGGTCGTGCCGTGCTGGCAAGTAGGCCGAGCAAGGTTGTTCTTCCCTCTCCTGGGATAAGTTGGGGGACCATCCTGGCACGGCCCGCGCCCGAGCCTATGCAGGCACGTTCCATGTCACAGGCCATGTTGTGGGCTAGGGTTGTGCTGGGCTGGGCTACAGGTTGGGCCTTGGCTTAGGCTAAAATAGGCAAAAAAGGCCAAGACTGTTTTTTTGCTAAGTAAAACTAAAATACTTAACTTTCCTTTAGGGTTGGGCTTTGGGAACAAATTGAAAAAATAAAAAATCTAACAAAAAAATGAAAAAATTACTTACCAAAATACAAAATGGACAACAAATTGGATAAAAAAAAGATAGGAATTTTATTTCATTAAAAATATAAAAAATTACATTGTTGAAAAAATAACAAATAATTTAAATAAAGTTGAAAAAAATACTCCATCTCCTTGACTTTAATCATCTGCTTCATTAGGTGTAGTATTGCCATGCCCTCCTCTGTCTTGTAATTTATTCTCAGCATCTAGCAAATCTTTAAAGCAGATGTCTTTTTCTTATTTCTCATGGAAGAGCAATATCTATTCAAGTGGTCAGTACCACCCTTGCTATTGAAACTAAAGTTAATCCTACATTTTTGGCAAATGACTCTTTTTTCCTTCCTCATAACCTCCTCTATTTTAAATATTTTCCAAGTCGGGCTAATAAACTTACTATTGGGGAATTGGTTTTGGGAGGATGAGCTGACCATTTTTTAATTCTAAAAAATAAAAATTAATTTAATTACACTTACCTAAATGGTCAGATTAATGGTTTAGAATCTCAACTTGATTTCAACAATTAAAGCCTCAAAGCCTACTAAATTGCTAAGTGTATGATATTATGAGACTATATGAGATAAGAGACTAAGAGAATATGAGAATTGAGGATGAGAATGGTGGAGAATAGGGATTTTTATAGGAATTGAAAATAATTCAATTGCCCAAAATACCATAAGAACTAGCTATTTTTTAGTTGTTGGGAGGGTTATTTTGGTCATTGTAAAGTCATTTATCACTTTATTTAAATGCCCCAAAGTCCTAAAAAATTAGTTGTTATATAGGATATAGTTGTTTGAGGGGCATTATTGTCTTTTTCTTCCCCAAGCCAAAATACATAATTTACTCCCTATATAGCTATTTATAGGCTTATAACTGTCGATTGAGGAGGTATTTTTGTAAACTCCCCTAAAAATCTGAAACTAGCCATTTGGAGGGTCCCCCAAGGGTTCCAATGGCTAGCTTTCTCGAATGGACTACACTCGGCCCGTTGCAAGCCTACATTCTATGTTGTGCCACGTGCTGGACCATGCTGGCACATGGGCCACGGGCAGCATAGTACACACAATCGTGTCGTGCTCGTGTGCTGTCATGCCAAGCCATGGACGACATGACCCGATTTACACCTCTATTTAGAGGGCTAAGCATCACTAACCCAAATTGCAGGGAGATAGTCTTTAATTTACCCTAATATTTATGAATATCTTAAACAGTATGTGTTATGGTCCCGCGCGTAGGATCCCATCATGGTCCGGTCCACGGTGCGAATGCTCTGCCTTCCCTTGCGTCTTCCCTTGCGTGCAGACCCTATTGCGGGACTGAATGGGTGATTTGTCCAAGAGACCACCCGAACTCTCCTCACTCTTTTCTTGGCTGAAAACTGAATGCTTTTTTTCAATTTGTAGCTCCTTAAATAGGAGATTACAGAAGAGAATTCCTTGTTGGATTCAGCTAGGCTAGGGTAATCCAACTTAAACTAAACTCCTAATTACCTAC